GAATACAACTTTAAAATGGCAAGCAGCTGATATAACTACGAAGATGGGGGAGTTTATCATAGCTGCAGATTTGTACAAGAATGCAATCTATTTGACCCAATTTCACTGTTGAATTTGACTGTAGTCTGTTCATTCCTATTCATCCATTGTCCCATGCACCTATGGACCGCCCTGCTTCAGTCCTGCACCACACCTGTCTCCTCGTTCTTCAGCCTGAGTCCTGAGCTGCGTGTTGTGATTTTTAGGGCTATACAAGAATACATTGAATTGAATTGAATATACCTTTTTATAAATCTATTGCAGCTCACGGTGATAACAAATTTAGTCATGGTTGGTTCACTGCAAAAAAATAAAAATAACAATAAATGCTTGAGTCAGGTGTGTGTGTGTGTTTTTTTTATTATTAATTTGAGTACATGATTTACAAAGCCATCTAGCGTTATACTAAGAACTTTTGGGTTGTTTTCTCAGTCCAAACTAGATCAATGCTGCTTGTCCCATTGGCAAATCTGGTTTTAAGGCGGTCAAAATGAGTCAAAATTAATTCAGCTAAATTTCAGGATTTTTTTAACTTATTTGTCACTTATATCTCTTTTTGCAGTATATCATTTTTGTCATGTTTTATATACTTTAACTTTAGAATTTAGCCGGGATCACGGCAAAAGTCAAGTACAGACCATTCCTAAATACAGAAGGACTCATTCAGACATCTCTCTCTCTCTCTCTCTTGTACAGTCTCTCTCTCTTATTGCTCTGTCTCGCAGTTTCTCTCTCTTTTGAATGCTCTCTCTCTCTCTCCATATTGCCCTCTCTCTTTTGCTCTGTCTCTTGCTCTCTCTCCTGCTCCCTCTCTCTCTCTTGCTCTCCTACTCTCTCTCACAATTGCTCTCTCTCTCTTGCTGTCTCTCTTTGCTTCCTTCCTCTCTCTCTCTCTTTGCTCTCCTAATCTCTCCCTCCTTCTCTTTCTTATTCTCTCTCTTCTTCTCTCTTAATCTCTCTTATTCTTACTCTCTCTCTCTCTTGCTCTCCTATTCTCTCTCACTATTATTTTCTCTCTCTTGGTGTCTCTCTTTGCTCTCTTTTTCTCTCTCTTTCTCTCCCTCCTACTCTCTCTTGCTCGCTCTCTCTCTCTTACTCGCTCTATCTCTTTGCTCTCCTACTCTCTCCCTCTTTCTCTTTCTTATTCTCTCTCTTCTTCTCTCTTTATCTCTCCTACTCCCTTACTCTCTCTCTCTCTCCTACTCCCTTACTCTCTCTCTCTCTTGCACCCCCCCTCTCTCTCTCTCTCTACACACAAACAATTCATCTCACTAGCATGTACCTCATCTTGCGGTAAGTTCTGTGACCAAGAACACATTTTTTTTGACGACTAAAAAAGCACCTTGTAATGGGAGGCCTCAGCGCCGGTCAGGAGCCGTCTGTTCATTCGCTCGAGAAAGAAATTATCCGGTGAAGTATAGATTATCTTGTCACAGATTAATATGAAATGAATATTAAAATCGTACGCGTAATTTAACTGTCGTGTCGCATTAACATTTGTGACAATCTTTGATGATGTGTTCGACGACGTGCACTGATCCTTCAGCCTAATGTTGTCATGGCGACGGGGTGTCAGAGCAGGTCCATCACAAACATTCTGTAAACTCCGGCCCCTGGTCATTTCCTACATGTATACGTCTGGGTCTGATCCTAGTGGCTGCGGTGGCCATGGCTGAATCCCCTCCGACCAATCAGAGAGCGGGAGAGGCGGGTGTTGTAGGGAGGTGTCGGGGACGTCAAGAGTTTGCGCCCAATTTGCTGATTGGAGTTTGACAATGGCTCCCACTGATGACTGCTGTCGTTGTGTCCTTGGGCAAGACACTTAACCCCACTTTGCCCAAAGCCCCCACTGAAAGATCAAGGCTATGCTCACACTCAGAGAGCAGCCGTCCTCCTGTGGACTCACCACCTGCAGAGGGTCAGTGAGGGGCTGGTGCTATGAGACTTGGGTGGCATCTCTGATTGCCACCCCCCTGACCCAGAAATGGATTAAGGGGAAGAAAATGGATGGATGGATGGATGGAGTTTGACAATGGCGGCGAATGCGATAGTAAAGTAATCCGTTCTGGTTCGGCTCCAGTTATCAAGAAATTGAAGCCGGAGCAAGAGGAAAGTTTGGAGCACCAGGAGCCACGGTGGGGGCGGTTGTTGTGTCCTTAGGCAAGACACTTCACACACATTACCTATGGAATTAACTGGTGTGTGTGTGTGTGTGTGTGTGTGTGTGTGTGTGTGTGTGTGTGTGTGTGTGTGTGAGTGAATGGTTGGTGGTGGTGGGAGGGGCCGATGACAGAGACTGGTTGCTTTGCTTCTGTCAGTGTGCCCCAGGGCAGGTGTGGCTACAGTAGCATTTTATGACCACACTCCCTCCTCCCTCCACCCTTCTCCCTTCTCCCTCCTCCCTCCTCCCTCCACCCTCCGCCTTTCTCCCTCCACCCTCCTCCCTCCACCCTTCTCCCTCCTCCCTCCACCCTCCACCCTTCTCCCTCCACCCTCCTCCCTTCTCTCTCCTCCCTCCACCCTCCACCCTTCTCCCTCCACCCTCCTCCCTTCTCTCTCCTCCCTCCCACCCTCCTCCCTTCTCCCTCCACCCTCCTCCTCCCTCCCTCCTCCCTCCCTCCTCCCTCCCTCCATCCTCTCCACTCTTCTCCCTCCTCCCTCCGCCCTTCTCCCTCCTCCCTCCACCCTCCACTCTTCTCCCTCCTCCCTCCACCCTTCTCCATCTTCAGCAGAAGGTGAGCGGTGCCTTCAGGGCTTGCAGAATGTCACAAAGACCCAGGATGACTTCAGTTTCACAAATAACCATTTCCCTCCAGAACAAACCCACTTTTACCTGCACTCAGTCGTCTGCCGCCGGAACACAGCAAACCACAGCCTTCACCGCGTTTCTGTCATTGATAAAACTGGTTTGAGGAAGTGTAGCGTCTCTGACCAGTCCCTCTGGTGGCCTCACAGTGGAGAAAACACATCCATATCACTCTTGGAAAGATGTGTGTCAAATATGTCACACAAAATGGAACAGTAATAACATTCACATTTTCTCATTAGTAGTTCTACTGTGTACATTATGACTTGACTGTGTCGTCTACCTTGAAATAAAGATATAAATGAAGGGAAAAATATGAGAAAATTGACTAAAAAGAAAGAAACAAATTAGAAATACCACAACATCAATGTCTAACTGCATGAGTTTAGTTACTGTTGGAATGAATGAGAGGTTTGTAAAACTTGAAAAAAGTGTGTGTGTACAAGAGTGTGTGTGTGCATCTGTGTGTATGCGTGGGTATGTGTTTATGTGTGCCTATGGGTGTGTTTGTGTTTGTGAGTATGTATGTACATGTGTGCGTCCGTGGGTGTGTGTGTGTGTGTGTGTATATGTGCGTGGGTGTGTGTTTGTGTATGCCAATGTATGTGTGTGTGTGTATGTGAGTATGTACTGTATGTACATGTGTGTGTGCGTGGGTGTGTGTTCATTTTAGTGTTGGAATTGAAATACTGATCGTGTTCAATATAATTTTTTGGGAGTAAAACACGTTCTTGATCTTTCACAGAAGAACGAGAGGATTCCCTTTTCTTTGCTTTTGCTCGCCGCAGCTGCCCCCGAAGACATTTAAAAGCTAAAAAAATGGTCTAAAAATGAATCGGAAAGAGCTTCAGGAGCCAGAGACGAGAATAGGGGACGGATGTGAGAATGTGAGTTTTACTGAGTTTAATACAACGACCATAAAAGACAGAGTCATAAAAGAAAAGATTTAATGAGAAGAAAGAAGTTTATTTGCCAAGTTTCTCTGTAATGAAAATAATTCAAAACGCACAAAAACAATGCAGTGCACACTAAACTAAAACATTAAAATAATATATCTTTTTTTCAATGAAGAACACAGAGAAAACCAAATCATAGCGATGCGGCTGTAAAATGCCAGATTGTTGTTGTGTCCTTAGGCAAGTCACCCACATTGCCTAGTATGAGTCTGGTGTGTGTGTGTGTGTGCGTGTGTGCATGTGTGTGCGTGTGTGTGCGTGTGTGTGTGCGTGTGTGTGTGTGCATGTGTGCGTGTGTGTGCGTGTGTGCGTGCATGTGTGTGCGTGTGTGCATGTGTGTGCGTGTATGCGTGTGTGCATGTGTGTGTGTGTGTGCGTGTGTGCATGTGTGTGCATGTGTGTGCGTGTGCATGTGTGTGCGTGTGTGTGTGTGTGTGTGCGTGTGTGTGTGCGTGCGTGTGTGCATGTGTGTGTGTGTGCATGTGTGTGTGTGTGTGTGTGTTTGTGAATGGTTGGTGGAGAGGCATACTGGTTGCCTAGCTTTTGTCAGTGTGCCCCAGGGCAGCTCTTGCTACAGTAGTAGTTTATCACCACCGTGTTTGCTTTTGAACTCTTGAAGTCCTACGTAGCTCTGAAACAGTTGTTTAGTGTTTTACAATTTATGTTTTTCTTGCTTTTTTCCACCTGAGTTGTTGCTGCAGTACAGTGTTCATGGTTTTACACTGGTCTAGACCCGGAGCAGAGAGGATTCATGGTCCGAACCAAGCAGATCAGGCGAAAATCCACTGGAGGAATGCTAACTTTTTGGATAATGCTAACAAAGCATTTTTGCATTTTACTTTGGACTAGAGCAGAGAAATTGGTCTGAACCAAACGGATCATTTAAGTCTCTATCCTGCCCCATTCTGTCTTATAGAGTGAACCAATAATGACACATGAAGCATTTGAGGGTCCAAAAAAGTGCAAAACAAAACTAATGCAATATTTTGATTTTAGCTTACAAATGACATACGTAAACTCATAAAAACGACACATTTAGGTGTACAAGCAGGACCCGTAAACATTTATTCAAATTCTGCACAGCCTGCTTTCTATTTCTGATGTTTATAATAACGTGACACTGGTACTACTGTAGTATCCATTGTTTCAACACCATAAGTAAATCCACCATGAGGCAAAAGAACAGGTGAAGGTGAACATTATGAGGACTTTCTCCATTCAAGAAACACATTGTATTGATCAGATTCCTCATTTGGAGTCAGCTGCTCCACACTTTGCCCTGGCAGCTCTTCTCTCTCTTTCCTCGTTTGCATTTTCCTCTGTTCGAAGCGTCGCGGGTCACACCAGGCGAGTTCATTTCCGTGTACCGTGTCCCGGAAAATCCTGAGTCCATTCACGTCACCACTCTGCTCCTTCTCACCTCCTCTGCTCCAGTCTCCGCCGTTCAATTTCCTGCTCAGCTCGGCAAGACAATACAGGACTGATACAAAAGCTTTGGCTGTGACGACTGAAAGAAATATCATTTAGACTCTGCAGCATCTTTCCAAATCGGTTTTTCCCTCCTTCTCCTGCAGAGAAAATGGCAGCTTAAGCGTTATGGATGTCTGTGGGGGAATGGCAGACTGGGGGGTTTTTTTGACACTGAAATGGAATGGGCCACTCTGAACACACACACACACTGAAGAGGGTCAAAGCCACAAAACTTTGTCACCATCTGCAATTTGTATAAACATAAAGGAATGAGGAATGAGCAGACGATGTGATTAATCCAGAGGTTCAGTTGTAAAAGCAGTCTCTGTATCTTTTACCGTATATGGATATAACAATGGGTGACACAGTAGCATTCTCGCTTCTCAGCAAGAAAGTCCTGGGGTCAAATCCCAGTCGGAACGTGGCCTTTCTGAGTGTTCTCCCCATGTCTGCTTAGGTTTCCTCCGCGTGCTCCAGTTTCCCATACCGCTAAAAACATGTACGATAGGTCTGAATGTAATGAGTGAGTGAATGGCTGGTGTTGGTTGGGGCTTTGATGCTCCAGTGTGTTCGGCGTCTCGCTTCTGTCATCACCGTATGGATAAAATGCAAAATGTTGGATTTCTGAACATTGTAAAGTAAAGCGCTTTGGGTGATTTTGTTCTGTAAAATGTGCTGTATAAATAAACATTACCTGCTAACAATGGGCAACACAGTGGCTGAGTGGATAGAAAGAAGGTCCTGGGTTCGAATCCTGGTCAGAACAGGGCCTTTCTGAGTGGAGCTTGCATGTTCTCCCCGTGTCTGCTTTAGTTCAACCATGTATTACGGTTTTCTCTACCACTAAAACATGCACAATAGGTCTGAATGTAATGAGTGAGTGAATGGATGGTATATAGTGGTCTGTAAAAATGCGCTATATAAAAAAAGATGACCTACTTTCATAACTTTTCGGATGCGTCCCTTCTATCATCCATGTTTTTCTCATGATTTTCGGACAGTTACCACCATAAACATGACTCCAAATACCTGCACGGGGCCTATACTGTACGTACACGGCAGCAGCAGCGAGAGGGAGAGAGCTCTAACCCTGGGAGGGCATGGCGGTGGCAGCGTTATGGTTCATTATAATTGGAAGTGTCAAAACCGCGCTCCTTTTTAATGTAGTGCCTCCATTATGGGGCGGCTGTGACCTGCCCCAGCGCAGTGATGGATGGGGACATTTACGCGACTTTGCTTTTGTGGAGGCTGATGGAGATCGCGATACTGGCCGCAAACTCTGACGGGAACGCAGAGGAGATGAAGCCCTTGTGTTTTTATAAATATCGAGACCAAACATCGAAGAGAAGAGCTGTTTGGCGTTTAGTTAGATGTGGATTGACTTTTTGCAGCCTCTTACACACATACTTGAGGTGGTATTTTTCAGAGAGGGCTACCCAGAAAAAAGTCCCATAGTACTCAATGTAAATTAAAACAGCTCGACCTCAGCTGACAGACAACCTGCAGCTTTCATAAAGATCGGATTTTGTGGGGATTTTAGTCTCCCTTGCCATCCTGAACTTTTTTTCTTCTTAAATCCTTCTGTTTTCTCTAAATCCACACTTTACTGCCACAAACTCTGCTCCTTTCCTTCCCGCTCTGGCTCCGCTCTACCGCTGCTCTGATGAGCAGCTCTGATTGGTCAAAGAGCGGCCGTGCACAGAGCCCCTCTGTGCACGTGCATGAGAGCCACACACGCGTATTTGGAACAAAGCATCATGGGAGATCGTCCACTGCGCAGAACCGGGAGGACCAGACGATGCCCAAAAACAAGGCGAGTTCCGCTAATCTCCCGGTCTCCGTGAAGCAAAAGCCATTCATTTGAATAGGGCGCCATCTGGGTTTTAAGAAGTTATTTAAAAGAGAATACTGATGGTGCTAGCCTTATCTTTTGGGGCAGGTTGTTCCAAATAGGGATAAAACACACAAACCACACACAACGCGGACACTTAGGATGGTCTAACATAAGACCAGATAAGATAAGATAGACTTTGTTGATCTCACACTGTAGAAATGTACATGTCACATTTGGTGTGGATAGAATTACTCAGATTGTGCAAAAGACAGAAGTGTGCAAGGTTAACAAATATGAACATTATGCAGAATATAATTATACAATATTATAAGATACTATATTGATCCCTGATAGGAGAAATTAATTACATAATATGATTTTGGCTAAAACACTTTTATCTTTCCATATATTTACATTAGTGTTTCCTCGTCTCTGAGGGGCCTGGAGAGAGATTGATGCATCCATCAGGGCCTTTATCCCCACCGCTGTCAGACTGTACAATAAGGATCACTGTGTGAAAACCTGCACTACCATTGAAACTGTTTCCAATTGACACTTGTCACTTTTATTGTACATAATTATTGTCACTTTTATTGTACATATATCCTGCATGTAACATGTTTGCACATTTCCTCCTTTTGCACAATCTGAGTGTCTCTATCCATGCCAAATGTGACATGTAAATTTCTCCTATGTGAGATAAATAAAGCACATCTTATCTTATCTTATCCAGGGGCCTCCAGGTGTTACGGTTTCTCCCATGCGTGGTGTAAAGTCAACACGATGTTTGGAATCATTCTCTGTTACAGTGGTCCCTCATCTATCAGAGCGGTTTTAAGGCTGAAACCCCTCACACACACTTTTACACTTCTCTAACCACCTGAACTCATGACTGCTGAAGTGTGATTGTGGATATAATAGAGCGGAGATGTTGGTTGTAGGTCTGAGTGCTACTGCAGCTGTGAAAAGTCGTGAATACAGTGTAAATTACAGCAGTAGAGGACACTGAGGGGCAGGAGCAGGACTGAGGGCTACAGGAAGACAAAGAAAATGCCCTGTTCAGACCGAGACTAGCTTGTCCTGCATCTCAAGGAACGATATCTTCTCTCAGAGGGAAGAAGCTGGAACATGGATCTTCCAGGGAGACCATGAGTCATTGATCTCTCAGTCATTGATAAGTTCCTCTTTTTCATTCAGACATATTGTTGAATTCAAAGTCTTACAATATTCAGGCGACAATATGAACTGTATCTTCCAGGCAGTGGGTTTTCTCCTTTGTAGTACATGTGTATATATATGTATATACACATGTACAACACTGCGCTTTGGCCGTCGCCCGGCCAAACAAGGTCTGCGTCAGGTGCTGGGGAACCAGAGCACCTTGATGAAAAGTGGGCTACTGGAACAAGGCGAAAGTGGGCGAGGTCCGATAACAAAGCTCTGTCGGAATGCTACTACTCGAGTAACCCTGGCCAAAGAGGTTACATGCAAAGAATGTGGGCTGAATGGTTACTTCGAAACCCACAGTCACAGTTGACCCCGAAACAACTGGTAGCTCAATGCTCCAACATCCACAAACGGCAACTGCTATCACAGCTTGAGATCGATGAGGTACAACACTTGTATGATGCCTCAGTTGCCACAGTTGCCGAGGTCAGAGGGGAGATCCCACCAACTGCAACTCCCCAACCAGATATTGGGTACATAGCCCCAATGGAACCGATAACGCTGAACGAGGCAGCGACTGACCTGAAAGCTAAGATCATGGCTAGAATGGGCACAGGGCAAAGACACCGGTTACAGCGGTTGTGTGAAGTACCACCTAAGGATCTCATAGCAAGCGTGAATGCAGCAGTGAGGACAATACCTACCACCACAATCACTGAAACCAATGAGCTGATATACACTTCAGCAGCAGTGATCCTAGAGATGCTTGGCTATAAGAGCAACCATGGGAGCCATGGACAATACCCACCATGGAAAAGACGGTTGGAGGCTAAGATCAAGGCGGCTCGGAGAGAAGTGAGTCAATTAACAGAGGCCCAGAGAGGTGCAATGAAAAGACCAGTACCCAGAAAGTACAGCCAGATGACCATACCTGAAGCACTCGAAACTGCCAAACAAAGGCTCCAAGCCCTGGCCAGCCGCCTACAGAGGTACACTAAAGAGAATGAAGCCAGAAGAGTGAACAGGCTGTTCGCAACACAACCTGCGAAGGTGTACGCTCAGTGGCAGGGTAACAACAGGGGAGCAGACCCACCAAGGCTGGAAACTGAACAGTTCTGGAAGAACATATGGGAGAAGGATGCAGCACATAACATCAGTGCACAATGGCTGGTGTCCCTGAGAGAGGAGCACAGCCACCTCCCAGAACAGAACTCAGTTACCATCACAGAGGCAGACATCCGAGAAAGAGTCTCGGATGAGGTATGAAAAACTGGACAGCACCTGGCCCTGATATGGTCCATGCCTACTGGCTAAGGACACTCACATCACTCCATGAGCGCCTAGCAGCACAAATGAACCAGCTGCTGAGAGATGGGACTCACCCAGAATGGCTAACCGAAGGGCGAACGGTCCTGATCATGAAGGACCCTGTCAAGGGTGCAGTCCCCTCCAACTACCGGCCAATAACCTGTCTCTCCACAACATGGAAGCTCATGTCAGGCATCATTGCGGCTAAGATAAGTGAGCATATGGAACAATTCATGAGCACAGCACAGAAGGGCATTGGTAGAGACACCAGAGGAGCCAAACACCAGCTCCTGGTTGACAGAACAGTCGCCCAAGACTGCCGGTCACGACACACCAACCTGTGCACAGCCTGGATTGATTACCTGAAAGCCTACGACTCAATGCCACACACATGGATTAAGGAATGTTTGAAGTTGTACAATATCAACAGGGCTCTAAGGGACTTCGTTGCAAATTCGATGGGAATGTGGAAGACCACCCTTGAGGCAAATGGCAAGCCGCTCGCACAAGTGACCATTAAATGTGGTATCTACCAAGGAGATGCTCTGTCCCCACTACTGTTCTGCATAGGCCTGAACCCTCTAAGCCAAGTTATTGACCAGACTGGCTATGGATACCGCCTCAGGAACGGAGCAAAGATCAGTCACCTCCTCTACATGGATGACATCAAGCTGTACGCCAAGAGCGAGAGAGACATCGACTCTCTGATCCAAACAACCAGGATCTACAGCCATGACATCGGGA